TTGTAGCTCAGGGGCCAGACATTTTTCATGATTTTTGCACATATCAAACTGTAAAGCAGTGAACATTCCTAACAACAAGCACCCATTGCGTTGAATTACGCAGAATGCGTGATCTCACCTTACTGCTCGTCATTACCTGTTGCTTTTTGTGAAGTTTTTTAGCTCTTGTTTTCTGATTGCATCATTTGCCTAGGTAATAGAATTTGAAAAATCACTGTCAGCTCATCAACGATGCACACGTGAAGGATGGAGTGTGCTTAAGCGAGCGATTGTCGAGCATAATTTTATTGCTGTTAGTCGAATCTTCACCAATATTACATTCGAGCAGCTTGCCAAACTTTTGGATATCGACAACAAGCAGGTAACAGTAAATTTCGGAAATTTTTTAAGTTTTTTTTTCACTTCTTTTTTTTTCGAGTGCGTCATTTACTTTTGCTGCTAACCCCATGGGGAGTTTTTTCCGTGATTGATTTGTCAAAATAAGAGCACTGCTCTTTGATCGAGAAAAAACAGGGTACATCGTTCCGCACAGGAAGTTATTCATGTGGGGTGAAGCAAGCGGTAATTAATTATGAATTTTTATTTTTTTATTTTTATTCTGCGCGTTGTTACATCTGGACACCAGTACCATACATACTAAGGATATCAAAGCCATCCAAATAATTGATATGTGGGGTGGGGGAGGGGGGATTCCATGAAATCGCCGATGGAGATTTATGATTGTTTCGTCCTGCAGAAATTTTTGTCCTTTATTTTAGGCCGAAAAAATGGCATGGCAAATGATCGCTGATAAACGTGTCAGCGGAATGATGGACCAGATTGATGGACTTATACATTTTACACGTTAGTGATTTTTCCCAAACAACATTTCTATATTTTAGGATTGGAATACTTAGACCAATCGTGACAATTACTCAGGGTTTCGTTTATCCAACGAACAATATTTCTCTTGCTTTGGTAGCCTCTGGGTACCTGAGACATTTATTTCGTCTTCTGAAGGGATAGCTGGCTCAGTGGATCTGCCAAAAGAAGCGTTTTGCAGAGTTTTATCCGCTTTTTCTAGATAGCCCCGAAATGTGTTGAAAAATGTAAGGGCAATTAGATGGCCGAATGAAAAATGGACGGTCCAGGGAGGCGGCCGAATTGAAATTGATAAAAATTTGATAAAAAAATTTTTGATAAAAGAATTTGATAAAAAAATTGATAAAAATTTGATAAATTTTTTTTTTTTGGGATTAATAAAAATTGTTTTTTGGCTGTTGCTAGGTTGAACTAAACTTAGCTACTTCTGAATCACGGCGTATCATTATACCGACTAAGGGCGATTCGCATCATAAAGTTTCCAATATTGTTTTTTTTTTTTTCAGCGTCAGTGAATGATGATGCGATAACAGGAAGAGAAGCACTGGCCGAATGGGACCAGCTGATCGGAGAGCTGTGTCATCACGTGAACACGATCAGCGACATGATCGAATTGAAGCATCCGTTGTGGTGCGAAACGCTCAAGCAAATTAGTAACTGTGCATAAACTGTTTATGGAATTTTCACCTCTCTGGGAAACGCGGAGAGTTTAACGGGTGGCCCTGAATTCATAATATATGGCGCTTACCCTGGCTTAAGTTTACCCCTCTAGTTTGCATCGTAAAATATCACCTTACACATGACGCCTGAGTACAATCCTTCTGAGCTGGAAAGCAAAACATTCAGCGATTCTCTGAGATATTTTGTTACGAGATAAAAATACTGATTCCGGCGATTCCGAATAGATCCTGCACGTACATAATGGCAAATGCACAAAAATCGGGCACTTGAAGGGTAGCGTCTGATTTATTTGTGTCCTTTCATCACAATTTGTGGAGTATACCACTGTGATAATCTTTTTGAAGTATTTTTCTTTTTTTTGAAGAACACGCAAATTTGTTTTAAAAATAGGTCAAATTCGTGATAGTGCATTTCTCCCCTGTTTTTCTGGCCGACTGTTCACTACAGCTAAAATTATTTTTGTTTTGAAAATTACGCCAAATTTCTGGCAATTATCCCCATGTTCGGAGCTTGAAATTCGTTTCGTTTCGTTTTTTCTTTTTTGTTTTTGAATTTTGTTTGTTTTGTGATAAATATGCTCTTTCTGGTCTGTTGTACAGTCGAATTTACATGAAGTTTTTGCTTGCAAACCGGATCTTATCACGACCATTTATCAGTGACTACACCTGATATGTCTCCATTGGGCATTAATTTGAAAGCACATTTGTTGCCGCCAAAATAAGCCCACTTATCATTAGGAAAATCACTGAGAGAACATAGAGTGGAGTTGCACGTGTATTTTTCTTTTTCCGGTGATAACCCTATATTTTGCACCGGCATAAGATTGCGTGAGGGTAATCTCTTTTGGCTTTAGAAAAGTTGTCAAAGTCGCTTGTGCAGCAAAAAAAAGTACAGAAAAATGCGTTGTTTGACACAAGATTCAGCCTAGAAAAGCAGTAAAGAGAAAAACAGACAAGCACGAAAGTTAGTAACAGAAATGTAGAATTTAGTGAAAATGGTGTAAAATATCCACCACTAACATGAAGCACCCGCAATGGCAGTTCGTGCGGTCCTGATATTCTCGGCGCAAATTATGAGAAACAGGTGTATTACTCATTGGCAAGTTATTAATTTCAGCCGAAACAATAGTTCGAAAAAGTTAAAATTTGTTACAATGTGAATAAATTTGACAAGAATCATTATTAGTTTAAAGCGCTCAAAAAAAAAAAAAAAAAGTCATGCAGAGGGTCGGAAAAAAAACATACTCGTTTGAAAATATAGTGATCATCTGTCATCGTAGTGTTACGTTCATGCTAATATAAAAAGATAGTAACTTCTCAGTTCTCTTATTTAAGCGTTTCTCATTCATATAAGACTCTATGCAGCTGTTCAAGCGAATTCTTCCATACCCAGCTCAGGCGGTTTTTTTTGTGTTCTTCCAATTGTCGGTACTGCACGCTTTTCTAGAAATCAGCAAACGACACATTCAGCGAGTAACAGCCTCGGTGCAGCACTTGGGCGGCCTCTAAAATGAACTGTTCTCCAAAACGATCGGTATCTCTGCATCAGACACGACGCATCTAAATACTGATACTCCGGGAAGGCATTTGACACTCATAAAAACATGTCCTTCAAACACATAAAAAATTTTCAAAAATTTATGCAAAAGGACGCGACACTTGTTTTTTTTTCACAAAAGGGCATGTACAAAAGCTTATTTAAATAAGTAGAAATTGTCGAGAAAGGCAGGAAGTGTTCCTTTACTTTCAATTTGGCGAAGAGCTCTGTTTTGATTTGGCTTCTTTTGTGGAAAAACCGGACTGTGAATTACGGACAACAGCACTGCCTGGGCGAATAGCACCACACCTTTTTTCGCTTTCGGAAGGAATAAAACTCGAAATTTTGTTATAATTTGAGTGCGCGCAACTATGGTTGCCTCGCTGAATGCACCCTTCCCTTAGTTCAGCGGGTCTCGCCCTTCAGTACTGTGATGATGGTTGTAAAAGTGTACTG